TGACCACAACTGCCAATGCTACCCTGATGAAGCTTGGAGCCTACAGCAGTATTGTCCAATGGCTGGTATATGGGTTTTGCAAAGCTGGGTGAGGTTTTAAAGCCCCCAACGGCGAGAAGACACCCATGGGGGCTTTAAAACCAGGTCACATGGCTGCCATGTGAATATTGGCAGTAGAATATCTTGAAACTTGCTTATATGCTCCTTTTTCACAGACTCCAGTGCTTGTACATTTACACCATCTCTGGATCTAGGGTTTCCCCTCTGTATTGGAATAAGCAACCATTTATCTAACCAGCCTTCATGGTCTTTTTCTGAACTGTTCTCTCCTCCTTACTCCTCTGTGCCTTTTTAATATCTCTATCTTTTGGAAACCCTTACTTTCATATATTCTCCAGGAAGAAGTAGTGAGCCAATTAGGGTCAGTAAGAATTCTAGAGAATATTTTTGTGATACTGTTGATACTGATACTGTTGCAATGGTTGCTATTAATCTCCCTGGCGGTATTCCCGAGTGTAGCTCGGGGTTACTTTTCCATACCATAAGCGGTAACCCCGAGCTACACTCGGGAAAGCTGCATAGCATTTACTTACCTTGTCCCTCGAGACCGCGCTGTGTTCTGCGGCCGATGCCGGCTTCCGTCTTCCGGGTTCCGTCGCTTGCGAGCGTATGCGTCGCAGGGGGGCGGAACCGGCGGGATATTTAAAAAAATACATTAACAAAAACGAAAAAAAAAACGACAGACGAAAAACATTCAAAAAAAAATAGACCGAAAAATGACATGAAAAAAATTAAAAATCATACAGCCAGGGAGGTTAAAGTAGAAGGAAAGGCTTAGAAAAATCAACGTTCAAACATTCTCCCCCATTGCTGTTTATTTTTTGTACTAATTCTGAATGGAAATACCTTATTTTTCATCTGCTTGCAAGAGGTTACGTGACCTCTGGTGGATGTGTCCTTCTGTGCAGAGCCATCAACTGTGCTGAATTCCTAGAGTAGTGATCATACCCAATGGCATCCATTGCTGTAGGCATTGATGGTGGGGGACAGAGTTTCTTTTCACCAGCCACACAGAAGGACACCCGCACCGGAGATGTGTGGTCACATAACTGCTTATATTTTTCTTACAAACTGTATACAGCAAGCTTAAGGACAATGGGGAAGGATGTATTATTTTCTACTTTGAGAGGTTTGGTTCAGTTATAGACATTTTGAGAAATTGCTTTAACCTCTTGCCATCCGCCCGTTAAGAAAAAACGGACGGACGGCTGACTCCTATCTGAAAATGAAAAGGACATTTTTTTGTTTAATTGTTTGGCTTAAAGTCCTTACAACCATGAATAAAACAGAAAGATCTCATCTGTCCTACTAAGTAAGGTCTGGCACCTTTTAGGGAGTTGTAATTGCTTAGCAGCATGAGGTTAACTTCTTCTTGATCTAATTTGCAACACATTATCACTGTTTTACAGCAGAGGTGGAAGCAAGGAATTGATGCTAAATTCGTGACATTGCGGATCATCATCTTAAAATAACTGCTGACATCTTTGCAAAACTGCTTTGCTTTTTGTTAATGTTAATAAGTCCCTTTTTATCAAGTTATGCATTAGTTTTAACATCATTGCATTCATTTTTAAATAGAGCAATGTAAGTACGTGACTTGAAAACCGCTACCTGGGCTCTGCTGCTTTCTACAGTGATGTCAGTCTAACAATGTTAACCATGCTAACAGGATGGGAGAAGACAGGTATGAGTTTATCAGTATTATACTGCTCCTTTAACATATTGTCACAGACTGGAGTCCCTAGAGAAGAGTAGGGTAGCTGTAGATGTGTTCACTGTTGTCAAAGATCAGCTGCAGAGCTAATCTGTTATCTGTGCTTCTACAGGCCTGTGTTTGCTTCGTACCTCTTTATCTCTTTGTTGCTGTGGATTTGCTGCCACCTGTGGTTCTACAAGCATTTGCTCTGCTCTTGCAGCATGGAGATAGCAGCTATGGGTATCTCCCACTTCACCTGATGCTTACACACGGAATGAGTTGCGGCCATCTTCATATGTAAATAGTGCCATGCATTCATATGTAAATATCACAGTTAAGTGGCCAGTAGCACCTCTCTTAATTTTGGTTGCCCTGAATCCTGGACAGGTGGCAACCCTACTTACTATACCTTGCTTCCCGCTACTTCCTATGGAAATCGTGCTCAGAGCAGGACGCTTTGCTTGAGCAACACTAATGTTGCTTCCGAGCTCTCATTTGTGTCTTTTTGTTCCTGACCTGCTTTTCCTGGAACTGATCTTTCATGCACTGACTTGGCTTAGTTCTCCTGACTACATTTGTCTGCTGCCAAACCTGACCTTTGGCCCATCTTCCGGGTTCTCTTTTCTCTGCTCCCATCTCCCTTTTGCCACCGCTGCCTGGAATGCTGTTCCCTTCTCTGCCTCCTGTGTGTATGGGTACTCTCCACATGTGAGCAGTGTGAACCCAGGGGGCGCGACCTGGTCTCAGCATACAGCTAAGTCTAAATGTCTGTGAGGTGGTCCCTGGCAGAACACCGGCTGGCCCTTAGACCCCGTGCCCTGGGGGAGTTCATGCCATCTGCTCCCTTGTGGGCTCGCATCCCTGGTACCATGATGAGAACTGTCAAGCCAAGGATACTGTGGAGACCCTTAGGCCAGTGCTAGCTGCCTATCCATTACCTAGATTACACATATTCACATCACCTAATCACTATTGGAAAATAAACACCAGCAGAATAATGACACAGGTCCATTGCTCTCTTTCCACTCCCAAATATGGAATGGGACTTGGGCAGCTTTAGAAATTTAGATGGCAGCAGATTGAAATTAAAAAGTCCTTTTGATACCATGATATTTCAGATTCACTTGTATTGCGATAATATGTTGAATTAAGGTGGAGTTTCCCTTTACCATCAAATAACTCATTACAAACAGGTGTGAGAAAGTTTCGACGTTTGTTTTCCCACTTATAGAAGCATCACTTAAAAGACACGTACGTTTAATACACACTCGCTCAATTTATTTGGAAAATAGAAGAAGAATGACAATTTACATCTACAGTATTTATATATTAACATACTTTTTCACAAATACAAATATATACATGGAACCTATGCTTTACCAAAATGAAGGTTTAAACTTTTTCACAATGTTTATATTATAAGGCAGGGCAGCAATTAATTTAGCAAACGTTAGTAATTACTTTATTGGCCATTGGAGTAATAATTGTGACCAAAAGTTTACATCTTGCTGATTGCAGAGGAGGAAATGGGGCAGATTCACTCTCTGTCTCAGTTCCACTGCATTAGCACTCATCCTGTTGCAAGGGTGCTACACTCCTCTCAGTTAAAAGATTGGTTGATATGTCATACATTTGCTGAACTGCTGGCCAATGATGGTGCATCTCTTTACTGCTAAGCTCCACCCATTCATACAGCTGGTGCAAACTATTGCACCACAAATACTATACATATAGTGCAATCTGCTTTTGTGCAAGCTTTTGGGCTTATATGTAAAAAGTATGCTAAGAAGTACAAAAAAATCTTGTCCATATCCAATCAGAATCCTTGTTTTCCTCTTCAACTCTGGGCTGTTATGATGACATCTGGAAGCTGAATAATTGCTATGTACTGTATAGCATGTTTTAATAAATAAAGCCCTCCAGGTTTGCTGGTTTGAATGTCTATCTACAGTCAACTACTGACCGGTTGTGTTGTACTTTTGATTTCATTCTGTTTTTTCACAAAAATAAAACCACATAAAAGGTTGCATCTCAGTAGCTCCATGCGAGGAACGGTCAAATGATCGAGGGTATATATCATTTTGTTTTAAATTTTTTTGATATATACTCTTGAAATATAGCAGATGCACTCACAGTAGCAGCAGCCATATTGTAGACTTAACATGTATGAAAATGTAACCTGTCCGTTTACTAGGATGTGATAGTAGTAAGGAGTTTGATAACAAAATGGCTTCAATTATGTTACTTTCCTAGTCCATCATAATTTTTTCCAAAAAATGGCTGTCATGTCTCTGATTTAAAAAAAACATTATTTTAAAATTAAAAATTAAATAATTGAGTGGCTATTGGTTTAATAATTAAAATGGCCCATGATATGTGTACAAATAATAGTACTTGTAAAGACAATCTAAATAATTAGTATTTGTTTACTATTGTTTCTGACTTATCCCTAATCTATCCAATATGGTAGAAAGGACATGAGAAATATATGTCAAGAATTAAACGGCATCACCCTAGAAGACAAACCTGTACACAACGATAAGCTGTACTAAGGAAGAACAATTTGAAATATTTAGTGGAAGAAGTTGACTATAGCTTTGCATCATAGAAACAAGTTACAACCATTAAAAAAGTGAATAGATCTCAATGATCCATTAGATTTTTGGCAAATCCCTAATGGGTTAATCAGGAAAAAGTCACACTATAAGTAATATCCACAGAAATGACTGGTAGTTTGATGACTCAGGTAGGGTTTCACCTTCAGATGACTTTAGAATGTACAGGCTCTCTTATAGCATCTACTGAATACATTGCTATTAGACTCTAGCTTCATTGTGTTATTGTGGTCACTTTCTAAATGCAAGAGAAGGTGCTTATTGTACATGCCATAAAATAACACAATTATGTTCTTGGACAACACAGAACTGTGTCATATCCTAGGGTAACAAAAATGTGCTTGCTATAAATGTGTGTAGCCTAACAAAAGCTTCAAAGAGGAGGACAAATATTTAGTTAACATTCTTCAAAAGATCATAGAAGCCAGTAGAATAAAAGCACTGGCAGTCGTAGATAGCACAGAACATTTTGATTGCTTAAAAATATTCAATGGCATCATGCATCTTTTTAATTGTGACCACTCTCCACAGAGCTTCTGTTCTTAAACGAGTCAATGCTTTGCTTTCAGTTTTCCTATAAAGTGTTCTCCACGAGACTGAGGCCATACACCACAAATGAAGCAGATCCATTGTCCAAAATCTTTTTCCTTCCCTGCCATCCAGCCATTAAATATTGAATATGCCCCCTTGAACCACCATTCAATAAAGTTACTGATGATGTAATCAGTTAAATTTACTTGATAGTATATTGCCCATTAAACCTTACTGATAAGAAAAAAAGCTGCAAGAACGGAGTCTTGGGAGTTGTTGGATGGCTAGGGGGAGAGTGAGTGCATGGTGGCCTCTGTCTTCCTGTCTCCTAGGAACACACTGTCAAACTGATACGTCAGCTTCTTCTTGACTTTCCTGATCTCTCCAGTCTTGCTATAGTTCCTCAGAGCGCGGGCCATCTTCTGGTAAGTCATTTTTTTGCGGTTTCCTTTTTGTTGACCCCATCGATGAGCCAGCAGTTCTTTGTGCTTGGATGAAAACTGGAAGGTCCCTCTCTCACGGTCCAGCCACCAGATGCAATCTCGCATGTCGCCATTCAGCAGGAGTTCCAGAAGAAACTTGTACAGCCGAACCTTCCTACGAACGCCTTAATAATAATAAATTAAAAATGTGTTTTTATTTAAATAGCAAAGGACATAATACATTTTTTAAGCTAAAACCAAAAGAAACTCACATGTAGAGACCAATCTTAACTGGGGTTAGCCAATGTGCCAGGGTAGCAAGTAGGCCCAGCCAAGTCAGTAGCATAAAAACAAGCTTTACAAGATAAAAAAAAGGGCAATAAGGGTCCTGCATTACAGTATATAACACTTTTAAATGCCCATCATGTAGCATTAGGAAATGCTTTGTATATAAGTGAAGAATATTAATAGTCTAAGTGCTTGCCATCTGCCTCTGAATTAGTCCTAATTACTAATGACCATTCATTGACACAGATGTTATGAAAAGAGTGGCGTTTATGCAGCATGCTGTATTAACATTTCTCAATATTCACCAATAAAATGTAAGCTTTCAGAATCCAACTCTCATTTATAATTAACAATACAGACGCTCTTTGACACGTCATGCAACTTCTAATAAATTTGCAAAACTAGGGACAGATTAGATAGGTTCCCCTGTTGAAAAGCATGGTTGAATGCTGCGGAATTGTGCGCTTTCTATATAATAGATTGCTTAGTTTCCCCTCCCAATGTGCATTGCCCACGTTAGTTTTAAATTAGTCAAACAGCCATCAAATTTTCTCTGTTGAATCTGATTCATTGCTAAATACCGATCATTCTCCACAGTGGCACACTAATATACAACACCCTGTGTGTTGAGTGACACTGTCATCTGGATTCTTTTTCCAAAACTGTTTTTATAAATCCCATAATATACTACTAGTCTGTTGCAGTTCAATAAACTGGAATGGTTTATGCATTAGAACATTTTTTTCCCCTAACTCCTACAAAAAATGTTTTTCGATGGCCTGTACAAAGTCCACTGTAAAAGGTTGTGTGCTATATTGCTTTACAATAGCCATATATAATACTGATTTATTGGAATTTGATTTTGCTCATTAGTTATAGGTGATTTATGTGACAGCCATATAATCATCACTTTTCCCTTTTATATTTAGCTGTCTTGTATGAAGAATATAAAGACACCGGCCAATCAGTTAACACTGGCAGTTGTTTGTGAGGTCATTATCATACTTTTTTGCCCTTTTGAACACAGAGAAAAAACAAACTGATAAACAAAGGGATTCAAATAGCTGTAATTTCATCACTTCCCTGTATTTTTTTTCCTCAGTTTCTGGAAGTTCCAATAAGGATTACTGCAATGCAAGGCCCGTTGCATACAATTGCCAGCTAATGTGGCAGATTTGGTTGGTTCAGCCTCTGTGAATGGCAAGAGATCACTGCAGATTGTAACAACTCTGCTACGCAGGCCTAGGATCGCAACTGCGGAGTGGGGATTTCACGGTCAGGTCAGCAAGTGGTCCCTTCAGCACTTTTCAATAAGAGTTCTAGACCTTTACATCATATCTGACCGTGGATTTGAGTTTTAGTGGTAATAATGAACTAGAACTGACGGGGTTAAAGCGAGAGAGTGACACCCGGTGGTGAGCGCTGGTATTACACTTGCTATGATTAGAGGACAGCACACCTGGGGTTTTATCAAGCAGATATTAAATGATTGAGATGAAATAAGGAGGTTCTCTTATGATAGCACATACAGATCCAGTGTAACATCAGAAAGTGGTATGTCAGCTTTAACAGTCCTAAGCACACACATTAATGGTTATACTCTGATATGACTATCAAGATATGCAGTTCCTCAAATCATCTGAGTTAATGGCTTACTAGCCCAGATACTTGCGATTTAGGAGCCTCTCTCTGAAGTCCCTTTGGATGGTCTCCTGTGGCTGGGGGTTACTTGCACCAAGGTGTCACTCTGCACGGTGTAGGTAGTCTTTGGATGAGAGGGGAACCCCTCCAATGGGGTTATTCACGCTGGTGTGCAGCGGCAATGCTACACTCGGTCCCTGTACGGTCTGCGGTTGCAGAGCGTGAATCTTCGGCGTTCACTGTTGCAAACAGTAGGACGCCGAAGATTTGTTTGGCCTCGACTTAAAAAGCCTGTTGCGCCTGCGCCGAAGGAGCCGATGGCCGAGGTGCGCGTGCGCCAAGTGGAGAGAGCCGGGCCCGCTGTGCGCATGCGCGGTCACGGATCACGATCCCGGAACGGAACCCGGTAAGTCTCTTACACAGATGTGGCCAGACTTCTCAACTCAGGGAGTAGAAATCAGCAACCTTGGCTATTTTCATCTGCTTGCTGTTTTTCTCTGTTGATTGGGCCAATGTCAATGGTTTCTATTTGCTGTCCCCTTCACATGTCACAGGCATGCTCAGGTAAATAAAATAAACAAATAATCTTCCAACAGTTTGATAAATCCCTGTCCTCTAACCACCCAGTAATCAGTACAACCTACTTTAGACCCTCAAATTTAAAAAAAAACTTCCCCCATTTTGTAAGGAAAGTCTGATTGCCCCATTGATTATTAATAAGATATTAGATCTGGATCTAGAATAACTGTATGAAGTGTAGAGAAACCTGGGGTGGTGCAAAGCTATAATGACAGAAAAAAAGTATCCTGAAGGATCACAAGCTTCCACACAGCGATTCCACACGTGTTTCCCTTCTCCCAACGTTTTACGTCTTCAGCTAAGTTAGAGATGATCTCAAAGGAAAAAGCTGCTGCTGCTGAGCTCTCTGACATAGAATGCCCTGCCATTCCTGTGCCATGGGCGTACAATCTACCAAATGTTTATTAATAAAATAAAGAAGATTTTATATAAAACAAAATATGTAAAGTAGCTTAAAGAAATGTAAATATAAAAAATGTCAAAGGTTTTCCAAGACCAATATATTTTTCTACAATACTTAAGGAAGTTTTAAACATTTAAGTAATGCAATGGTTGGATTAAATACCTTGTTCAAAGTTTACTTGAGATTCATCAGTGTCGCTATCTGACACTTCTAGATTCGGTATGCCGGCAAAGTCTTCTTCCTCGGACAATGATGGACTGCTAACAGGGCAGAGTAACTGATAGGACTGTGGGTAAGAGCCCTGGGGAAGAAAACGTAAATATACTCTAGTTTACATGACTTCAGATACTGGACTAAGTTATCTGAATACAGAAAATAATTTGCTCAAAATGTAAGAAAAAAGAAAAAAAATTGGCCAACACCACAATAGTTTCTGCAAAACAAGTTAAGTAGCAAAAATTATCGAAATCAACATTTGTCTATGCTTGATGGGCTATTTGAGCTAGAATCGAGCCAGGGTTCTTGGGAGCAACGGAAATTTCCGATCGAAAATCTATAGGTGTACGGCCAGCCTTAAGGTGCCCATACACTGTGCGAATTTCGGCCGGTTTGTGCGAATTTCTGCCCTCAAAGTGTATGGTGCTGTGGGCATTCTTTTCGGGCCGGCATCCCTCGATCAGTATGATTGCAGGAGCCTGCGAGAAAATTTTCGAAAAATCAGAGCCGGCAGCCAGTGAGCTGGCCGCTCTGGTCGGGTATTCTGACAGGTGCCGGCAGCCACTGTATGTTAACAGCGCGATTCCTCGATCTATTCGTTGTTGTGTTAATGGAGGGATCGGGTCTATTTTTTGTAGTTTAGCCGGCGGGTTGAATGAAAAAATAGATAAATGTTTGGCCAACCTTAAAAGCAGCAAAGTTCTCAAGTTGACACCATCACTTATTATGGTTATGCTACCATCAAATAACTGAAACATTTTAGCACCTCTCCCCAACAAAGTTACTATCCTTTTATCCATTGTTACATATATCTATAGACCTCTGATGGTAAGCTAAGTATGTAAACCCAATGTAGCCCACAGTCTTAACACCTGATCAGAAATACTTAAATGTCATTCAAGCAACATTCATCAGTGTCTAAAGCCAGAACAGCCTGTGTTTTGTCTAGTAGAAAACTAGATAAAAATCTACATTGGAAAATGGCAGTTGGAATTGAAAATATCTCTTTATTGGTAAAAGTTAAAATTTAACTTGTATCCAATGCGTGTCTGAACCAGGGACATGTGACCTTGCTAACGACTAAGTATCAGCAGTGTCCTTATTAACAACACAGTGACTTCTACTCGTAATAGTAAAACCTGAAGCACAGCGATTCTGTCACTGAAGTAAAGTATTACCAGAGACATGGAGGGGAATTGATCAAAACCGGAGCAGACAAAATCTGGAGCAGCTGTGCATGACAACCAATCAGCTTCTCTCTTTCATTTTCAAATCTTAACTGAACAAACTAAAGAGAGAAGGTGCTTGGTTGCCCAGGGCAACTGCTCCACATTTTGTCCGCTCCCGTTTTGATTAATTCCCCTCATAATCCTCGCTCTGGCTCTAGAATTGCAAAACAAAAGCAACAGGTTCCTTCCTTTAGTTTAAATAGCAAATATGACAGTTGCCCAAACCACTCCACTCATGGCAAAATCTGAAGCCAATAAAACAAGACACTAAGGGGTCTATTCACAAAGCTGCCGAAGGATCTGGCCGTAGCTTCGGCCGATCCTTCGGCTAGCTTCGGCACCAGGACCCCTTCGGACTATTTATAAACTGTTCGCACAGCAAATAGCTCTCTGAATGAGAGTCGTAGCATATTATGGCCACTAGATGGAGCCAAGGAGCATAGAAATTTCCTATGCCCCTCAGCTCCATCTAGTTGCCATAATGAACTGCAAATCTTATTTACAGAGCTGTTCACTGTGCAAATGGTTTATAAAAAGACTGTTATGTACACACTAAGCTTATCACCCTGACCATGACATTACTTCTCATTTATAAAATCCCCTAATGATATTAGGATCATATTCAGCATCAGATTCTTTCTCTGCAATGTTCTTTATGTAGAAGGATAGCTAGAACTTGTTTTTTTTTTGCTACAGACAACTGATGCTTATATTGATCAATGTGAACTACTGTAAGGAATGCCATCCTTACCTCAGGATTGTACAGCTCCTCGGGTATCAGGCATGGTGTTGGGCAGGGAGCTGTTCCATCTAGATTCTGGCTGTAGTGGGAATAGCCATCCTGAGGATAAGGCACCTGGACGTTCCAGAGTTGTGTAAGCTGATCATTCTCATTAACTTGTGGCTCGATCCAGTTCACATAGTCTGAAAAATAGTTGAGAACTAGTCAGAAAACAAGCATGTACAAGAACTAGTCAGAAAACAAGCATGTGCAAGAACTAGTCGGAAAACAAGCATGTACAAGCAAACCCTAAAACTGGAAATAGAGAGGATGAATCTCCTTCAGCTTCTTTTAGGCCCAGAAGTTTCTCAAGTGATGAGATGGTATATGTATGGAGTAACTGATCACCCTACTGCACTAGCTTACAGCACATGCTGCAGGGCAGGCAGGGCCATTCCTATGATGAGGCAGCCCTAAGGCTGTTGCCTCATGGAGCATCTCTTGGGGTCACATGGGGGGTGGCAGGCAGAGCGTCATGCTCCCTTTCCGGTCAGAGGATTCCAGGTTGCTAAGAGCCGGGCCGGGGAGATGTGTTAGGGCCATACCTTACCTGGCCCTTAGCAACCTGCGACACTCTGGCCAGTGCCT